TCCATACAAAATACATCCCAATTAAATGCAATTTGCATTTGAATATTTTGCTGCCTTTTCTTATAACAGCTTTAAATTCTTGTATAAATAATGTTAAATCAGAGATAATATATAACATTTCATTGAATTATGCCCATTGATAATAGCTCTAAAGGGAAGATTTGGAACACTGATATGAATCCACAAAATTACCATTTTAATTATTTCATGGTAATTGTTATTGTTGAATCCTAGCTTCACTCAATGTCATAATTTTCTAAATTGCATGTGCAGTTTTATTTTCAATGTATCTTATTTTCAGGATGATTTGCATATTCATCATTCTCAAACTTTCATTATGAAAAACCAGATTATGTAGGTATTGATAAATCACTGCTATTACCAATTGATCTACTTTATAACAAATAAAATATGAGATGATTTCTACAGACCCCAACATACTTTCAATCTGATTTCTTTAGTCATTTATCATTTATTAAAGAAATCAATATGTATTTAACTCTGTATTCTGCCAATATGTATTTCTAAGCATTCAGATAAATAATAGCAAAAGACAAGTAATACTCATTGAATCAGGGAATTTGCATTTTTATTTGGGGTAAAAAGACAGTATGTAAATAAGTAAATGTATTTCATGCCAAGTGATGGACAAGAGAACATAGGACTGAGACAAAGTTTCAGAGGGCAAGGGCCAGAGAGTAAAGTTTTAAACAGGACACCATGCTGACCTTAACTGCATAGATAGTAATTGAACAGAAAGGCCAAATGGTCCAGTGAACAAGACATGTGCATATTAGCAAGATATGCAAATGTAAGAGCCTGTGGGAGTAAGCTTGGTTTACTAGGTGAAGATCATGACAAGGACTTTTCTGTCTCCCTCATAGAAGGGCATCTTTTGAAAAGATTTGCCTCTCTCCAAAGAGGGTCAGGAATTCAATGTCACCTTTGTTTCCATCATTACAGCAGGCCATAGAAGCACATGCCTGTACTTCTAGAACTTGGGGAGGTTGATAGAGTCAGGAAGACTTGAATTTATGTTCGGTGTGAGTTACATAACACCACCATTCAAGCAAAAATGCTACTAAAATCCAGAAGAAGATCACTGTCCTTTCAGCCAGAACTGATAATATTGATGGAGTCTTGTATGTGTTTTACAGATATAGTAGAAATTTTTCTGATGGTGAGTATGCCAAGAAAGAGGAAGAGAAGTGGAGAGAAGAGTGAGTAACATTGAGGAAGAGAGGAGAAGAGAGGAAGGGAGAAGAAAGGAGGAAAGAGATGTCAGATTGCACACTTGATGCTTGAAGTACAAGGACAAGTTGGTTATTATTTATGATTGAAAAGACATCTGTAGAGAGAAAGTTTGGGAAGAGGAAAACAAATTTTAGATTATGGCCTAGTTTTGTAGGTACTTTTAAATCGTCCTAGGGAAAGAACCAAGATGGCAGGAGGATATCTTAGAGTCCAGATAAGGTCTGAAATAGAAGAGCCTCTGTGAAAGCTCCATGTGAAAATCTGGTCACATAAGAGAAAACTGTGTGCTGAGCTTAGAGAATAATCCATTTCCCATATTCCTGTCCCTTGTTCCAGTTAAGCTGCAGAAATCAAGAACAGGGAACAACTAAGTATTCCTGATGTTATCGACCAGTTTGTTGAGGATTGAAAAGAGTATAAATAACAGCATTTCAGAAATCAGCCTTGATAGATTCAGTTTCCACAGGAACTTGGAAGGCTGGGAAGAAAAGGCTATGAAATATAATACTTGCTGTAGCACAGAGGCAATATGAACACATGCTAAGCAAAAGAAGTCAGATCCAAAAGACCATTGCCACATCACTTCATTTATCTGAAAAGTACAGAGTGTGTTCACAGTGACAGAAAACAGTGTCTGAGGACTGTGGAGAGAATAGAGCCTTACCATCAATGGATATGGAGTTTTATTTAATGTAATGGAATGTTTTGGAAATACATAGTGATTTTTAATTGTATAATGCTGCAGGTATACAAAATGACACTGAAGTGGACAGCTTCAAATGGCTTAAGCAGTGGATTTTATATCATAGAAATTTTATGTTAGGAAAAAATGTCTCACTAAGACAAGTTCAAGAGTAAGCATTTTAAAAAGTTGGAATTTAGCCAGGTAATGGTGGTACACACCTTTAATCCCAGAACTTGGGAGGCAGAGGCACATGAGTTTCTGTGAGTTTGAGGCCAGCCTGGTTTATAAAGTGAGTTCCAGGACATTTAGGGCAACAATACAGAGAAACGCTGTATCAAAAGTCCAAAAAAACAAACAAACAAACAAACAAACAAAACAAAACAAAACAAAAAAACAAACCCGGAATTCATGAGAATTTTCATAGCCTTCAGAAATAAGTTGAAGGTCTGAGTCTTGAAGATGGATGAAATGCTGTTGTTTGGGTACCAAAGGGAATGATCTCTTAAGGAGAGAGAACATGTGGCTTTGGAGAAGAGAGGATGAAATTCCTGGAGTGAATCCTTAAATATGTGGAGAATGAAATTTCTGTATGAGTGAAAAGGGTGTCCAGAGAAGAGCATAGGCAGCTGACAAGAACAAATGTGGATCACTCAGCAGGAAGAAGTGCGGCTTGTGTAGGTCTCTTCTGATTTCTCTTGTTTTCTCAATGAAGGGGGAAGCAAAATGACTAATTGACAATGATGATGCAGCAGGAAAGAACAAGGATAGGAACAGTTGTCTAAGACTCAAGAGAAGAGAATTGGAGTCTCATGCTGCAGTGAACTGGATAGTCACAAATATGAGCTTATTTCAGTGTGCATATTATGTCCTTTCTTTATGTCGGTGAGCTGTACAAATACAGGGCAGACCAGAGACAGGGTTGTATTTAGTTTTTCTCTGAGAGATTGGAAGTGCATGAGGAGATAAAGAGAAAGGCATCTTGTCTTAACAAGTGTAAGAAAAGAAATGAAGACATGACAGAGTATGAGAGGAATTGAAGACATTGTAGGACCATAGGCTGACAGGTGATGGAATGATAAAGCTGCCACTGAGAAAACACCATGGAGTATTTTTAAAATAAATGAAGACAATTCCAGGGTCAGTAGGTGGCATAATCTTATGGGATTACCATCATATATGCAGCCCATTTTCACTGATGACACTAACAAATATATGATTGTCTTGTTAGAGTTGAGGTACCAAAACAAGTGAGCTATACATGTTAGGCAACCATTGCAAAGTGGGCCACTCAAAGTTATAAGGATAATTTGGTATAATCAGAGGTTATCATGGTGCAGTAAAGAAATGGAGTTGTGTCTTTTATCACTAGGACAAGTTCGAGAGTAAGTTAGGAAACAAATTGAAATCTGTGAGAATTAGTACCACTTAAGTAAGTTGAAGACTCAATAGTTCACATTTTTTATCAAAGTTCTTTTCCAGGAACTAAAACAAAATTAGAAGAAATTGTGAAACTGAGAAATAACATGAAGGTGAATGTTGAAACAGCTAGGGCCCAAAATTTCAAAGACCTAAGAGTTCCTGTACCATTTCCTGATGAGTATGGCAACCTGGCCTGGTGAAAGACACCGATGTCAAGAGAGCCAAATTCAGTATTTCCTGATTAGAGTGTACAATTCTTCTGCAAGTAGCAGTAGGAACAGGGGGAAAGCAAGTCTACTTCTGAGTATAATCTCTACCACCAAACTAGCCATAATGTGAAAGGGTTTCAGAGACGCTCATTCAAGAGTAGAGCCCATTTCCAGTGACAGAGGATGCCATTTACCTTAATTAGTTCCCTGAACAAGTTAAAGTCCTATACTCTTAATTTCAATATTTGTGTTGATTGCTTCTGTGAAAACATTGATGGTTTGGAGGCTTCACTGGCACTACCATCATCTGATTAAACTATAGATTCAGTGGCATAGGTGCTTTATTCTCTCTGTCCCTGTTTCTCTGTCTTTGTCTCTGTCTCCCAATTTCTTTCTTTTTTTGATTATGACTTTGTATTCTGGCTATGCAAGTGTTTATTGAATTGATTTATATTTATGAATTATTTATTTAATGTTGACATTCTGAGAGAGATGTGTTTCCAAGGGCTGCTGCATCTCACTTGACAATTCTATATATTTAACAGATGAGATTTTACCATGTCAAGAAGTGTCGAAAACCAAGCAGGACTTACATTGTTCACATATGGAACGCTACACATTTGATTCTGCAGATGAAGACTTGAGACGTAAGTGTCCAATTGAGATGCCCATCTTGTTGTTATGAACACAATTTATAAAACCCAGAGACTAGCTGTAGGAGCATGTATGTGCCAACCTTTGTTGGCATTAATATCTTAGTTTTAGCAGGGTGTCAAAGTCTGAGGTTTAATAGAATAGTGAGTAAGATTAAACAATCTACTTAAGATGATGTTCTGTAAAGTCATACCACTAAATATTTTCTTATAATCATATACAATATTTTTCCTTTAAAATTTGAGTTTGATGATGAATGGTAATCTAATGTACATAACTCCATGAAGTAGTTAAGGAGAAATGTTATGAAACTTTACAAATTATTCTATAGCTATGATGCAAGAAAAACTAGAAATATAATTTTAAACCAATGGTTCTTATTACATAAAATCCATATTTTATCAAATGAAAAGTTTTTGCAAAATAGAATGGCTTAGGTATTCTTGCATCTGTGTCTGGCTTATAGGACTCATGTACCCCAGGATTGCTATGAATTTAGCCAAATAAAAATGGCTTAAAATAGTATGAGATATCTTTTTGTAATACAATATGTAGTTTTCCAGCATGAACTTTGCAGAAGAAAGCATCATGTCCCAGTTGTAGAAGGCTGGATACACTTGCCTGGGTCCAGGGCTTTAATGAATCAAAAGTTCAAGCTAGTAATGTGCCCTTGTGTTTCTGCAGAAGTCCCCTTAGTTTATGATAACCCACAGCTGATGTTGAGAACTCCCTCTAGGAGACTGTAAGAATCCACCAAGGCCCTTTGCTCTCTTCTCTAGTGTGCCAGACCTGCGGATTTGACTTTGACATGTGTGCCTGGGTAACTGAGGCACCTGCTGAGCAAACTTCTTGGATATGCACAAAAGCAAGTGAGGTCCCTTCACTGGACTCTGCACCCCGGCAGGATCAAAGTGGCAATGATGAAGGTAACAAATAAAATGTAATATAGTTTGTATATGAGTGCTAGAATTCTGTTTTATTGTGATGAGTATCAAGTCTTTCAGGCAGGGGAGTTGATAAGCATACATATTAGTAAAAGTACATTATTATATCATAAATACTGAAAGAGAAAGCAATGATTTTAACCCTGTAAAAGAAAAGCTATGCTACATTAGCTGTTGGTCCTTTTACTTTAATATTTTCTTATTGTCCAGATGTATTAGTTTATATAAATTAAAAGCAAAACCTTTTATCAAGTCCAGTCACTCTTCTTATTACTGCAGTGCTGAGTGTCCTTCTGTTATTCTAATGTAAGTTACATGTCTCTCCACTATTCTCACCCTGACTGCTTTCTCAGTTATTACTTGCTTTTTATTTTTTCATACTGATTTAGAAACTTTACCTGACATGTTTTTAAATATGTATTCTGAATTCAAAATTGTATATATTTATTATTGTATGCAGTCTGTGCATGCATACTTTACTTGCTAAGACATCTAATGGGCTTAATAGTCAATATTAATACACACATACTAAATTTATTTAATAAAACCTAAAGTGGGGGCTGGTGATGTGACTCAGTTGTGAAGGGCGAAGATCACCTGCTTTCTTATAAAGAATGTGAGCTCAGTTCCCAGTACCCACCTGTGATGTTTCACAGCAGTGCGCAATGGGGAACCTGATATCATCTGTTGGCCTCTGTCGAAGACCTACACACGCACGCACGCACGCACGCACGCACGCACGCACACACACACATACACATACACATGCACGCGCACACACACAAACATGCACACACACTAAATTTTTTATTAAAAAACAAAAATTCCTTAGTATTTATTTCTGTCTTTCTTTTATTGAAAATAAATATTTTTCATGCAATATTTTTTTCTCTTTTTATTATTATTATTGTTATTAATTCAAGTTAGGGAACAGGCAATCTTCCTGTGCTGGGCCTAGGCCCCTCCCCATGTGTCCAGAGACAGAGCACATCCCTTCAAGTGGGATGGGCTCTCAAAGTCCCACACACACACACCAGGGCAAAACGCCAGTCCACCTCGGGAGGCTCCCAGGAGTGCAGGGGACTCCCCATTGGCATCCATGATCAGGGGGCTGGATCAGTCCCGTACTGGCCTCCCAAAGAGCGTCTGGGGTCGATATGCTTTCCCTTTTTCAGGCCAGCTGTTTCTGTGGGTTTCTCCAACCTGGTACAGACCCCTTCGTTCTTCATTCCTCCCTCTCTTCAACTAGGTTCCAGATTTCAGCTCAGTGTATTTCTGTGGATGTCTGTCTCTGCTTCCATCAGCCACTGGATGAGGACTCTGGTCTGTGATGAGTCGGCGGAAAGGGCTCATACAATATAATTTGATTATGGTTTCCCTCATCCTACACCTTCCAGTCCCTTCCACTTCCCCTCAAATCTGGATCCACCTTCTTTCTGCCTATCATTAGAAAAACAAACAGACATCTAAGTAATAATAAAATAAAACAAAACACAAACTTGAATAAGATAAAACTGATATAAGAAAAAGGACCCCAAAACAAAAACAAAATGAAATCAAGGCACACAGACCCATACATTCACACACAGGAAAACCATAAAAGCAAAAACAAACAAACAAACAAACAAACAAACAAACAAACAAAAAACCCAAAACCCAAAACCCAGAAATGGAAGCCATAATATGTGCACAAAGGATCTATAAGGTTAAAAATTAAATGGCCGGACTTAGCATTATGAGACAAAGAACCTCCAAAGATTCTATTGAGTTCTTATGTGCCTGCTGTCTATTGCTGGACTACCCTTTAAAGTGGTTGGTTTTCCCAGTAAGACTCCCTTGGTGATAACTAACTTTTCACTTGCAAGTGGCTATCTCAATTGGAGATAGGAGCTGGTTAGGGATGGGGGCATGTCCATTCCTCCTTAAGCTCTAGGACCCCCATAGGCAGACACAAACAGGCTCTGTGCATGCTGCCTTGGTCTCTGTGAGTTCATAGGTGTGTCAGTCCTGTTGAATAAGGGGCCTTGCTCCCTTAGTGTCCTCCATGCCCTCTGGCTCTTATGCTATTTCTGCCTCCTCTTCCTCGGGTTTCCCTGTGCTCTGAGGGGAGTGATTTGATGGAGACATCCTTTTAGGATTGGGTTTCCAAGGTCTCTCACTCTCTGCACAATGGCTGGCTTCGGTTTCTTTATTTGTTCCCATCTTCTGCAGGAGGAAACTTTTCTGATGATAGTTGAGCAAGAAACTGATCTAAGAGCATAGCAGAATGTCAGTAGGAGTCATTTTATTGCTCCATTCCTTTATCAGAAGAGTAGTATTTGTTTTTTCCCTAGGTCCTTTCTAATCTCAGATTCTTGGCCACCCAAACAGCAATGAGTATGGATTCCACCTCATGGAGTGGGTCGTGATCAATTGAGATATTGATTGGTCACTGCAAGCTTTGTGCCACCTTTGCATCAGTATATTGCAGGCAGGACACCATTGTAGACCCTATGGTTTATAGCTTGGTGTTTAGCCTTATCTTTTGGTAATGTGCAGATTGCCTTGTAGTGCCATGAACTTATGTAGTCCATAAGGGTGAAGCCTCTAGGTAGGCACCAGCTGGACTTCTCCGTGTTCAATGAGTTGTGTAGATATTGTCGTCAGCAGTGGAGCCTTACTGCCAGTTTGTGCTGAGTCACCAATAGCCTTGGCAATAATTTAGGTTGTTTGTGGCTTCACATGGAACCCCTTTGGCCAAGAACTCAATTAGACTTAACCCTTCATTTAGAGACAAGATATATCCAGTTCAGTCTCTGTCTCCTCTGTTATTTGGTGGTTTCATTTAGATGGCCTTTATATGTAGATACATTACAGGAAGCTTCCACAGTTCTCTTTACAATCCCTCAGATGGCCCTTTGTTTTAGCTGTACCTTCTGAGATGTCCCCTTCACCTACCTCTCTCCTTCCCCTCCCTTTTTGGTTCTCCCATTCCAGTTGCACCCACCTTGTCCACTCATCTACTTGAAGCTGAGGAACAGCTTGAAAATTTCATATATTATGTATTATTTTTCCTTGAATTATAGCTTAAGCTCTTTTGAAGATTTTTTAAGTTCATATCTTATGGAGATCATAATTATAATTTTATCATTTGCTTTCCTTACCTTATTTGTATGTTTTCAATGTTTTGGAATATAAGTTTTTCAAGTGTTGCCTAAAGATCTGAGGGATTTCATTGGAATCCTAGTAACATCTCTGTGGTACTGATTTGGGTCAGATTTTGTCTCTTTTGTTTGCTTTGGATAGAGCAATAGATTTGTCAACCTTACTCATCTCTTCAAAAATTTATTATATACACATCAACTGTGTGCAATGGGACCCGTGACTACTAGTTGGACTGGTGTACTCTTGTCTGTCATAGAATTTTAGTGGTATTGAACTTCTATTGTACAACTGTCCATTGCCCACCAGACTTTAGTAGTTTCCTTTCTTTGGGTACAAGGGGCCTCTGCTGGACAAATTCAGCTTTGCGGTCTGTGTACTGGCAGTTTCTTCAACCTTCCCAATTTCCCTGGATTTTACCTCTTAGATTGGCCAATCTACAGCTGGATTTGTCTTCCAACTGTTTTTGGAATATGGGAGGCAATTACAGCACTGAAATTTATTCAGACTTAAAACCACCAGGCATGTCATCATACATTCCAGATCTTTTAAGTGTTGATCATCCCAGGATGGATGACATCATAAGTTATATTCAGACTCCTGACCTATGTTTATTTCTTTTTCTGAAGCTGGGAGGATAGTTAGTTGGCTTTTACCCAATAGATTTTTTGTGAAGATTGTACCCAGAGTTATACAGATGAGAGGAAAAGGCTATGCCTACTGTTTATCTATCTGCAGAAGTCACTGTTGCAGTAAAACCTGAATCTCTATTGGAAGATCGTGAGAACTCTGGGCTTCTCCTGTGGCTAGGATTACCAGTATCTTCACCAGGGCCTCCTGAGTTTCATTTTTGATGAGGCTGTGTTTGCTGCTCCTCTTTCATTATTGGGCAGTACAAGGTTGCAGCTATGTTTGTCATGGCTTACTTCTTTTGAGTGTGGTGTTTGTTCTATTCTCTGTACTTTTCAGGAATGTCACCACTACCTTGATGAATTTCTGAATATTGCATTTCTTTTTTTGGACAAGATTCTCTTTTTTCCTATACCAGCTCTTCTCTTTAGATGTGTCCACAAAGCAACTTTTTGCCAGCCATGATACCTAAGAATCATTTTCAGATCAGAACATAAGTATTTCTTTTTATTTTATTCTTAATTTAATAGTTTATAAGAAGACACATTTTTTAAAATTTTACTTTCTTTATAGGTAACACATTTCTTCTCTGGCCTTTGTTATATTTTTAAATCTTATATTTTTAAATCTTTTTCTTTGGTTTGGGTATTGGTTTTTGTGCTTTTAAAAAAAGTATTTATATGGCTTGGTATTTTATGGGTCTTAATCTGTGATTTGGAGAAATTCTATTACAACTGCTTCAAACATTGCTTTTATTGCTTTTCTAGTTTTCTCCTTATATTCCTTTTCCCTACGAATTTCTTTTTGTTTTGATTTAGAAGTGCTCTGAGTATCCTCAAGCTCATATTCCTCTCTCAACAGTGTTTTGTCTACGAATAAAACCCATAAAGACAACCTTGATTTCAGTTACACTGTTTTGTGCACAGTGTTATTTTTGATCCCCAAGCTTTCCATTTTTCTGCCCATTCTCCCTGTTTTAGTTGGCTTTTCTGTTGCTGTTATAAGACACCATGGCCAGAAGCAATCTGGGAAGGAAAGGATTTATGTGAATTTCAGGTTACAGTCTGTCACTGAGGAAGCAGGGACAGGACCAGGCAGGAACCTGTAGGGAAGAGGAATACTGCTTACTGGTTTGCCCACATTACTTGCTCAGTTCAAGCCCACTTTCCTAAGGATGGCTTCACCCACAGTAGTCTGGGACCTCCGACATCTCTTATCAATCAAGAAAAAGCCCCTCAGACATGCCTCCAGCCCAATCTGATGGAGGCAATTTCAAAATTTAGAGTCCCTCTTCCTGCAGTGTCTGAGTTTGTTACAAGATGGCACAAGCTAACCAACACATTATTATAACAGGTCTATCTTTGTATGGTCAGATCCCAAATAATGAGAAAGAAACTTGGCCTTAGTTTAGGTTTATTCACAAGGGGCCCTTACAACTTAAATTAACCATTTATGTTAACCTATGTTCTGCCACGTGGTTTGATACATGTTACTGTGTATCAAACTTCCTCCACATCTCACTGATGAATCCCCTACCTCTCCAATCCACCCCCATCTGCAAGTTCCTCTCTCTCCCCAGAAATCCTGCCTCTCCTCTCCTCCCTAGCTGTTGGCCATTCAGCTCTTTATTAAACCAACCAGAAGGTGCCTTAGGCAGGTAAGGTAAAACAGACACATGTTCTCTTTGTTCAGAAAGATTATCCCACTATATGTTATATGTGTCTATTTTTTCTACTAGTTATATTTGTGTATTAGGTCTATTTATATCAGATTTCCGGTGTCAGGATTCCAAGATTTCCTGACTTATGTGTGTCATGTCTGGTACCTGCTTTTTCTTTTCAAACCGACTCTAGTCTTTCACTATGCCTTTTAGGGTTTTCCAAATAACAAATTCAAAAAGTCTTGATATATTGTATCAAAAAAGTTAAAAGTTTGAGTTACTGAGTTCACTCCACTCAGTATTAGATAACTTACTGTCCATCATAGCTGGCGATGTCTGAAGTTAATTATTTTTTGCACCCTTGCTTTGGTCTTTCGTCTTGCCTTTGGGTTCCTATAGGGATTTGTTCTTAAATAATATGGAGCCCTGTAATATTACAACACAGTAACTCTGTTGACTGATATAGAAGTTACATGCTATGAGCTAAATACATTTCTATGGTTCTATGGTTTGAGACTCAGTTTTCTATGGAGTTTTTAACCTTTGCTTTGTGACTTTCAAAGAAATTCTTACAATCTTTCTATGAGGACAGGCAGGAATTGTAAAGAGAGTTAATTCTTTCCTCCCAATACTGTGTAAATGTGCAAGGCTAGTACTGACTGAAGCTATATGCATGCAGAGTACTTAAAGTATCTCAGAATAGATCCTGTCTCATGAAAGAAGGTGACAGTGCCTAAGAAAAATGACTGAAATTGACCTCTGGCCTCTATCTGTGCACACACAATCTCCACACCATGAACATGCATATATGGGCACACACACATATACACAGAATAAAAGAAACAAATAGGATATAGATGGTTGTGAGCTGCCATGTGGATAGTGGGAATTGAATTCAGGACCTCTGGAAGAACAGCAAGTGTCCTTAACCACTGAGCCATGTCTCCAGCCCCAGTGCCTTGGAAAAAAAGAGTCCATAAAAATTATGTTCAAAACAAACAAACACAACCACATAATTGTTTCCCTAAATTGCTTCTTTTGTCTTCACTTTTAGGTTACATGGTGTGGCTAAGGGACAATCATACTTCCACTTTTAGTCCTATAGAGAGCAGTGCATATTTAAACAGCTCGGTATATCACTGCCTGGACAGGAACTGCCATCTTCAGTTCTATTACACTATGGAAAACAGTGTCCTGAGAGTGAGACTGTACACTAATACGGTAAGAAAAAATTTTAGCATTTATATCAGATCCATTTAATATATGTATTTCTGTTCTTAAATACATACCTTTCAGATTTCCAAAGTGGCTGTATGAGTTGGCATTCCCATCAGCAGTGGAGTAGTGTTCCCTTTCTCTAATCCTCTCCAGCATAAACTGTCATTGGTGTTTTTGATTTTAGCCATTCTGACAGTTATAAGATGGTATCTCAGAGTTGTTTTGATTTACATTTCCCTGATGGCTAAGGATGTTGAACACTTTCTTATGTGTCTTTCAGCCATTTTAGATTCCTCTATTGAGAACTGTCTATTTAGTTCTGTACCCCACTTTTTAATTGGATTATTTGGTGTTTTGGAGACTAGCTACTTGAGTTCTTTGTAAATTTTGGAGATCAGCCCTCTGTCAGATGTGGGGTTGGTGAATATCTTTTTCCAATCTGTGGACTGTCGTTTTGTCTTGTTGACTGTGTCCTTTGCCTTACAGAAGCTTCTCAGTTTCAGGAGGTCCCATTTATCAATTGCTGATCTCAGTGTCTGTGCTACTGGTGTTATGTTCAGGAAGTGGTCTCCTGTACCAATTAATTCAAGGGTATTTCCCACTTTATCTTCTAGTAGGTTCAGTGTGGCTGGGT